AATTATTAGAATCTGTCTTTGCTTCAGCATTTACTGGATACATGGTCATTTCATTCACATGTTCATGAGTGACTCTAAGAACATCAACAATTTCTCAGATTTGTTGAGTATTGCACAACAGTGTTCCCCAACTCTGGCTGTACATCAGAATGTACATACAAGACACTAACAGGGAGTATCTGTTGGAAAGCACAGGTTCCAAGGAAGTGTTGTCATTATTCACCTGCTTCCGCACCACCCATGATGACAGAAGTACAGCATGTATAGTTGGCAATCCATCCCTTTGACAGGAAAGGAAACTGAGGCTCTGAGAGGTTAGGTAAGCTTTCCCAAGGTCACATTTCATGGAGCATCTCATCTGTTTGGTTCTAGACTCCCTGTTTCTCTACTAATGTGGGCAGGCACAAGGACACACTGATATGACTAGGGCTCTTCACCAAATTTAAGATTATAAATAAAAATAAAACTTAAAAAATAGTATATTTTGCCAATTGTGGGGACTCAGGGAGGCAAAATTAGGTGAATGCTCCATTCAAGGAGCCCAAGTATCCAGAGATCACAAGTAAAAATATTAAAGACCTACCATCGGTTGTCATATTCTTGGTATAGAGATTAATAATCGAATCTTCTTATCTTTCACCAAGTTCATCAGCACAGATCAGTGAGTAGAGTTCTGGCCTTCTTGTTGTATTAATTGCCTCACCTGCCTGAAAAGTAGACCCAGCCCCCAGGAGAGCAGCCAAAAAAAAATTGGACTTCTGAAAGATATTCTCCCACATTTGAACAGCTGAGTAATAAGATTGGTCAGTCTTCATCTTAGGAAGCCATGTACAGGACTTCTGTGGTAATATGAGAAGGAGAGTGCAAGAGTGGACAGCCTAGCCAGAGATGGCAAGCCAGGGACAAGAGCTTGATAGTCCCAGCCTCCACATCTGCCAGCCACACCTGGATAGAATAAAATGAACTTGCTTCTTCAATTAGGAGGATAACAGATTATTAGATGACTGTTCTCATTTCTTGCTTCCTCTGCGAGGCCATGCAGGGCACTGGAGACTCAGTACCTGGCTTATCAGGTTACAAATTGCTTGTTGTCTATGGATACATCCCTGGGTGACTTGGCCTATGAGAACGTAACATTTTCATAAGAAGTGCTTCTGGTATCACAAAATGGCCAGCCGTGTCCTATTTCTTAGGAAATGTAGCACGGGGAGACACAGAGTTGAGTGCCTTCCACTCTTTCCTTGCCATCAGCTAGCCACCTAACTCTGGATAGCATTATTTCTCCAAAGGTTTGTTGTCAGACCATGGTGCTATCAAAAGATGGCAGACCCTTGAGGAGGTACAGTCTAGTAGAAGGAAGTTAAATCGTCGCGGGATATGCTCTTAAAGGGAATAATGAAATCCTAGACCATTTTGACTCTTTGTTACCAGCCACCATGAAGTGAGCAGATTTCCTCTGCCATGTGTGTTCTGCTGCCACAAGTCCAGAGGCAACAGAGAAAACCAGAGGTTTCTGAAACCCCAGAACGCTTGAGCCAAAAAAAGACTTCTTTCTAAATTGACTGTCTCGTGTACTGTGTGACCATGACAGAAAAATACATTGGGTTTGTGACTTTTCTTTCCCATTTCTGGTAACATGGTAATTATCTATGATGTCACTCATACATTGCATGAGTCTTACCTGTGTTAGATGCTAAGGGCTGTGTGCATAACAGTGAATCCAAAAAGATCTTGCCTTCCTAGATCCAACCATCCAACCAGAGTGTGAAATAACACAAACAATTTTCACAGAAAGTTCAAAGTGGGAAATACTGTTCAGAAGGACACAGACAAGTAAGCAGCTGTGTACTTAGTCTGTCTCCGTGCCCTAAGGACATACTTGATCCTTGGTGAACATGTGATCTAATTATAGTATCCCAAGAGATGGATTTATTGTGACTTTACAGGTGAGAAATCCAACATTCCAAGAGTGAATGATGTGTTGGTGCTGTACCTTATGAGTAGAGGCAGAACTTCGACTTTCCTGGCTTGAAGCTCATGCTTCTTTCAGAACATGTTGCCTCCTTCCTGGACAGATGCTGGGAGGCATGTTAACGTGGCAACACGAGCCATCTGGATTAAAGAAAAAACTTTTTAGAAGAGCCATTTGATTAAAGACCTTAAATGGGTGGAAATGTTATGTGTGGGATCAAAGGCAATGGGCAGGTAGGAGCCCAGATGTGTTTCCTTAGGCAAGGACAGTGAGAAGGGGAGGCAGCCATGAGCTAAGAATAAGTTTAAGACATGGAAGTCACATCCAGCCATGATGTGACTGCTGATACAGACAAGAATCAAGTACAGAGCCTTTGATGTAACATGGCTGCCAGAGTAGAAAGAAAGTGTATCATTCCCATAAAGGTGGATCTTCAGAAAAACCAGACCTGGACTGGAGAGATGACTCAGTAGGTAAAAACATTTCCATGCAAGCATAAGAAACTTAGTTCAGTTCTGCTGTTTTAAGCCAGGTGTAGCAGCACTGGAGAGGCAGAGACAGGACGATCTCCAGACCTGCCTGACTAGCTAGTCTGTCCAGTCAGTAAACTACAGAATCAGTGATCTACCTTGTCTCAAAAATGACAGTGGAAAGGTGATTTGGAGCTGCTCTTAGCACCAGCCTCTAACCTACACACATGTGCATACACATTCAAACACACATGTGCATGTACATCCCAGTCTATACACGCACAAAAAGAAAAACCAAACCCAATCTCAGAAACAACTTGTGAAATGCAGTGAGGACTCTAATTCTGGTGTATCTAAAGTGCAAAAATTGTTAAACTGTAATTCTAGAACTGGAAGAAGTGGCCAGAGCCAGGTATGGTCAGCCCAAGCATGTCTGAATAGGGGATGTATTTGAAGAGGAGACCTAGATAGAGGCTGGGGGTTGTGGTTGACTCAACAGACACCTGATGCTCTGCTGTTTCCAGTTCTCATGTGTATTTGGTATCTCATATTCTTTGTGACAGATACTGAAGGACAGAGTATTGAAAGAATAATTATGCTAATAGCTAACAGTTAGTGTCTGAATACACCAGGCACATACCTTACACCTCCCATCCTGAAGAGGTTGGTGCTAGAATTACCTGCATGTTATGAGGAAGGAACAAGACAAAGTTAAAATAACCAAGGTCACATAACTAGAAAGTAGCAGCACTGGTGTGATGGCCTTCAGATCCCCAGACTTTGCTAGGCAAGAAGGAAATGAAGTGCCACTCCCAAGAAGCCTTAGGGATCTTTTTTTCTACAAGGCATGAATTTTTTTTTCAGATTAGCTTTTCTCCACCTCTAATGTAATATACTTTCTAAAGCAGCTGTAAGGACAAGTGGTGTGGTATGAGTTGCAACTATGAAAGCAAACATGTAAGGTTTCAATCCCAGCTTTACAGCATACCTTCTGACCTTAGCCAACCACTGAAATTGTCCTGCATGAGTTTCAGAGGGATAAGAAACCAGACATCATCCTTGATTCCTGTGTCCTCTAGACCTGGAAGAATGAATGAGGTGATGCCCAGATAGTCTGTCTTGGACTGAAGATCCTCTCACAAGGAGCCTCCCATGGCAGGCATTCCTTGCCAGCATGCCTTTCCCACACATGTTGGCCTCTTGCAAGTCCTCCTTTTATTATCACCCATTGCACTCTAAACCCTGAAGACATCACTTATATTAATGGAAGCTTCTTTAATTATTAATTCTTACTCAGAACTGTACCTCCAACAGAAACTAAATCAGCTAAATATTATTCACCCAATAATTCCTCTGAAATATGCCCCCTGAAGCCCTAAAAAAAACAATAATTAATGGGAAATTTTAGGTTTAAAGTACAGTTTTGAAATATCAAGAAAGTGTTATGTCAAAAATGAAATTTTGTTAAAGGAACTATTTTTAGGTCAAGAATGAAAATTGAATTCTGAAAAAAATTACAAAACACATTTCATTCCATCCGTGACAGTACATTGTAAATGGCAAGATACTTTTATTTGTGTATTTATTAAGTTCAAGAGAAAGGGAGCATCCTGAAAGCTGTCAAGTGGAGAGAGATGGATAAGAGCAAGAGAGAAGATCATTGTTGTTGAATTAAGTATTTGGTTATTTCTTTTCTTAAAAAGTATTTGTATGGCTTGTCTACCTGCATATATGTCTGTGCATTATATGTGTGCCTGGTGCCCATGGAGGCCAGAACAAGAATGTTACAGGTATGTTGTGCATTCCAGAGTTTTTTGTTGCTTTTATTTTTCATGATGACACAAAAAGCACAACCCTCACTCACCTCAAAGGGAGTAAGAGATGGTTTATTCTGGAGTCAATTTTGAGGGACCATGACACAGATTTAGATTACCAGGGTAGTAACAATCTCATGAGGTAGTTACAGAACACGAAAACTCCAGTAAAGTTTTTTAAATACATTCATCATGTACAGGGCAAGGAGGCAGAATGATTTCAACAAAGTGGGGAAACCTCAGATTGCTACCTGGTTACTTTGTAGGCATCACAAAAGGTTTCATGTGGTAGTCACAGGACACTGTTAGGTCAAACTGATGAGCTATGAATAGCCAATAAAGAGGATAAAGATCCCAGTGATCCCAATGTAATTTGGCTTTAGATCTGCAGCATTCTAACCCTCCATAATACTGAAGTTTTAATCAGGCAATCAGCTTTTATAGAATGTTCATTGTAAGTGCAGCCTCTTTTAGGGACGAGAGAGAGAGAGAGAGAGAGAGAGAGAGAGAGAGAGAGAGAGGGAGGGAGGGAGGGAGGGAGGGAGGGAGGGAGGGAGGGAGGGAGGGAGGGAGGGAGGGAGGGAGGGAGGGAGGGAGGGAGGAGAGTGTTTGTGTTAGGGGGGAGGGAGGGAGGGAGAGAGAGAGTGCGCAGAGTGTGTGTGTGTTTCTGACTGTCTCTGTGTCCGTGTCTAATCTGAATTTTTTCTTAATGTGATTCCTAGCTTTCTTTCTCTTTTTTCTTAGCCATATTTTTGCTCCTCAGAATATTTACAAGAAAATGGCCTTACTCAAGGCTTGTTCAAATGTTGGCCCAGATCAGGACTCTGCTTCACTGCACCATGAAGTCATAGCCTTGTGTGGGATTTGGACTGCTTCTCCTTGATGTTCTCAGTGAGTGTTGAGACACTGAGTGTTTAACTACAGAGTGAGTCTCTCTACACACAGGTGAGACAATTGAATCCCTCACCAGTGAGGACTCTGGAAGAGTACTGAGAGGATCTCATACATGCCTTACCTGTTTCCTGAGCAAGTAACAGACATGAGTAGAAGTGGTGAAGGAGCACAGGAAGGGCAAGTACCATGGGAAGAGACACATTAGGTACCTTTAGTAAGAAAGAACTTGACCCAACCCAGGAACTGAAGAGAAAGATGGCGTCTTTCCTGTTACTATTGAAAGAGCTGTTTCCTAGAGCCTGTGGCTACCAACTAATTCACAAAAGAAATCTCTCATCAGTGCACTGTTAATGAGACCTGGAGCTTCCAAGGAAATTAGGTTTAACAAAGTACCACACTGTTACTTCCCTGGGAAAATAAGCAAAGAAGAAAAGGTGGCATGAAGGACCTACTTTGATCCATGGTTGCCTGACTTGGCTGCCTAGTGCAGGGACAGGAACCCTATAGGCCTACGAAGCCTGTGTTCTACCTTGTTAAAGGACTTAAAGGAAACCATTCATAAAACAGATGAATAGCTACAAAGGTTGAAGTAAATCCCAAAACTTTAGCCTGGATGATATATTTTATGTACAGTAATAACCCACAGTTTCAACTATAACCTCATATTGATTCTCAGAGACAGGTGACAGCACTACTGGTCATGACATTTGTGGTGACATTCTGAAATGATTGTTTTAGGTGGCCTAATTAGGTGCTTTTTTATCTAACCCAAGGTTCAGGTTGTTGTGGGTTATCTGTAATATGTGTGAAGATGTATTGCTGTGGTGGTGTATTTAAAAACTGAACAGCCAACAGCTAGGCAGGAGTTATAAGCTAGACTCTTTGGGAAGAAGAGAGGCAGAGTCACCCTTGAAACAGAAGGTACAAGATGGAAGAGAGGTAACACCACATGACAGAATGTAGAGAATGTTGTTTAATATAAATAGGTTAATTTAAGTTATAAGAGCTAGTTGAGACAAGTCTAACCTAAAGGCCAAGCTTTCATAATTAATAATAAGTCTCCATGCCATTATTTGCAGGCTGGCAGAACCCCTAAGAAAGTACTGTTAGAACAAGTAACAGAGATGTAACGATGAGGGCAACTAGACCATGACTTCACATTTGTTTTCCAGAGCAGTTAACCTGGTTAAAGAGAAGAAAATACTAGCATGCCCTTATTTCCCTGAGAAAATCAAAGGAATTCAGATGTAATATAAATCTATGTTTAAATTGCTAATAAACACAAATATCTCAGCAAAGCTTAACTCCTACCACTCAATTAAGAATATCATTAAAGTAGAAAATCCCAAATCTATTCAGATAACCAGTGGCCATGGCTTTGCATCTGACCTTTTGGATTATGTGTCCTCTGAGAGGATGTTATGCACTCACTCAGAAATATAGATAAGCATGTTTGTGTCTTTGTCCACAAGATCAGAATTCATTGGCTAGCAGTAAGTTCACAAGCTACATTTGTTTTAATGTCTGCGGTTTACCAAATAATCTAGATTTCCCTTGATATTGTGACCTTTAGCGATCACAGGTTCTTCTATTCCTATAGTAATTACCGTTGTTAATCCTTCACACCACGTTTCAGACAGTGATACAAAGAGTCAGTGACTATGAAAGGGTTAAAGATAGATTCCTGTAAGTTAGGGAATCCAGTTTTAGAGTTACTGGGGTGCCCAGATCCTGAAGTGCAGGACTATTGAGGCAAGACATAGGACCAGTTCCAGAGACACAAGTGAATGGACTGTCAGAAGCCAACTGGGCCACATCAAGCTCTGGAAGCATAGTGAGCTGAAGCCCTAGAAAGAGCCTGAAGTTCTCTGCCTGTCAGTGCCTTGACACATGCACCAGATGGTCAGATGACAGGTTGGTAGGGGCTCTCACAATAGCACCATTAAGTAACCCTCTTTCTGTGCTATCCAGGTGAGGGAGTTGCTCTGCTTTGATCTTGTGGATCTTGGCTAATTGTATTTCAGTAGCACCAGTACCTGTGTGCTCCCAGTCTACTTCAGGTAGTTATACGAAGTTTCCCACCAGTCACTTCCTCATGGTTCACACGGACACGGTGTCTGTGCACAGACAAGGTTCAGTCATTCTGCCTCAGCATTTGCACTCAAAATGGAGCCAACTGCTGCTTTGTGAAGTGGAGATCAGCCAGGGTGAGTCACAACCTAAAAACTACTGTAAAATAAGCCACTGCTTCCCACAATACAAAATAACTTAGAGCAGGGCAATAGCTCAGAGCAAGTCACAGCATGACTCCACAGTGGACAATTGTGGCAGGAACATTCACACTGATTCTGGTGCTTTTCTGCAAATTAGTCCAAAATGACTGCGGTCTGGCCTCTCCCTCTCCTCCATAAAATTCCTGATATAAGAATGTTGCAAATATATGTGTGATCAAATCTTGGGATAGCTAACATTCAGAGACCTGATAGCTTCAGTTTGGCAATATCCATCAGTCACTACTGGAAAAACCTGTAATCCGTGTCTTCTTTTTTATTTTTATTTGTTTTAATTAACACATGTTGTCTTAAGTTTTCCTGGGGATACATAGTCACCATTAATAATGAAGGTATTAACACACCAAGGAAGGGTTCTGTACAAGTCCAGCTTAGTGAACCAATGGATTTACTAGGGTTATTTACAGGGCATGAGTGACATAAGCAGCTACACCATAAAGAAGTCCCCAGTTAACCTTACACCCCTGTGTTCCCTGGCAGCAGCTTCTCTGCATTCAACTGGGGCAGGAAGGAGCCATACTCAAGTGAGGTCTCCTCACCTGCCCACTCCTTCTACAAGGGAATGTTAATAGCCATGTCATTGCTGTAGACCCCACTACCAAATGTATGGCTCTGCTTATTTCATTGTCATGCCTGTGTTTAGTCTGTGTGGTCACCACAGTAATGCTGCCCAACCCAGAAGAAATTGCTCCACATTCACACATAGTATTCATTCCTATTTATGTGGTGTGGTACAGTGTGACACCTTAATACATATATACTATGTGTAGTTTTTTTAAAGCTTGGTTGTATCCTCTAAAGGATTATAAAACTTTTCCAGAGGTCCCATCTGCCCTCTACACTAGTTTTGTTAGCAGTTGTGTTGCAGAATTGTGCCCAAGCCATTCCCTGGGCAACCACTCTGATCATATCAGTAAAGACTGATGACACAGTGCTAGACTTCCCTGGGGTGAAGATGGAGTTTCTGTCCTACCTGGTCCCACAGCTGTTTAGTCCCAAATAAACACACAGAGGCTTTTATTAATTATACATTGTTTGGCCAGTGGCTCAGGCTTCTTATTGGCTAGCTATCTCTTAATTATTAACCCAGTTCTATTAATCTAAATATCTCCATGTAGTCTTAGCTTACCAGAGAATGCCCAGTCATCCTACCTTCCTGGTAACTACATGGCGTCTCTCTGACAACTCACTCTGTCTGTGTTCCTCTTCTCTGCATTCTCCTAGTCTGGTCACCCAACTTATACTTCCTGCCTGGCTACATCCTGCCTGTCCATTGGCTGAAACAGCTCTATTCATCAGCCAATAAAAGAAACATATTCACAGCATGCAGAAGTATATCCCCTATCACTGAGGCACAAGGGAGACTGAACATCCTAGCACTTTGAGGGGAAAGGTGAAACAGGGGGCAGCCTGGAACAGGTCAATAACAGACTCATCTGTCAGAGTGGGTCCATTACCAGAGTGGGTCCATTAGAAGGATGAATACTACTTCAGCAGGTATTCCCTGGTAACATTCAGAGGATTTTTGCATGATAAATGCTATACCTAGCACAGGCCTTCATTCCCAGTAAAATCTAATCCTAAGGGCAGGGCTTGATAGAGGCAGTCTCAGCAGTGTCACAGGCATTTGTTTACTTGGACTGAAGAAAGTGAGGATGCTACTGTGCCATTAAACTAGCAAGCAGTGATACGGAGCTTGGTAAGACACCCTATGCTCTAATCCAGGCAGGGGGTTGGAATACACTGTTGGAAGCACCGTTTGCAGTGAGCATGAGTTAAAATATTCTGGGTAGTAAAGTGGTAATACAAATGTATCTTAGAGAAATTGTGATAACCAGAAAATATAATTGTAGATAGTTGATAATGGATGTATAATATCCAGGTAGAAGACCCAGTTAAGAGCTCATTTGAGTGAGGGCAGAAGACAATGACAGGGAAAGCAAAGGGATGAATGGATGATAGGGATAATATACATGTTGATAACGCCGGGTTAGGGGGTCAAGACATAGCTCTTGCCAAGCAGTATAGATCTAGCAGTCAATACTGTGAGAGCGCTGGTAATGAAGCCATGGGGATAAATGAGACCACAGGTGGTAAATATTTATTAAAGACATTGGTGGATTTCTGGTGTTCTGTAGCATTGCCTATCAATATGCATGAGGAATGAAGGCATGAAATGAATTTTCTGCTCCTTTGCTGTCATCTCTCTTGTGATTTCTTCCCCCACCAACTGCCTCCCCTGTAGATGAAGCTTTTTTTTTTTAATTCTGTGGACAAGAAAGCATTAGCTGTCGCTGAGAAATACCACAGCTATCACCCACCCTGTCATGGTGATGAAGAGTATTGGCAGGAGTCAGGAAGACTCTGGGTCTTAGTTCACCTCCATTTCAGTCCTGACTCCTGGGTCCAGCCATATAAAATTAAGGCATCTCCTACACCTCAGTTTCCTTTCCTACAAAATGAGGCTAACAGACCAACTATATGGAACAAACCACATGACATGATGCATTAGCACTGGTTGGTGCTCACCTGGCCCAGAGGAAATGGTCAGATGTGAGTTGTTAGCACTGCTAACCATAACCGCATTGTCTTTCCTTTGTGTAAACATAAATGTATGTGAGAAGCCTATTGGTTCACTCTGTGTTTGAAATAGAGGGTGGTGTTTCCCACAGTGATTCATCTGCCTTGCCTTGATTTCTAGATGCC